AGAGAAAAAGAGAACATTAGGAGGGCCAGAGAGAATAGGCAAGATGGCCTCCTTACCTTCTCCCTAAGACCCTTCCTGAGGACAGCTCCCCATGGCCCCTGTCCAGGTCAGCAATGCTCTAGGGCAGTGATGGCGAACCTTTTGAGCTCGGCGTGTCAGCATTTTGAAAAACCCTAACTTAACTCTGGTGCCGTGTCACATATAGAAATTTTTTGATCTTTGCAACCATAGTAAAACAAAGATTTATATTTTTGATATTTATTTTATATATTTAAATGCCATTTAACAAAGAAAACTCATTTAACCAAAAAAATGAGTTCGCGTGTCATAGGTTCGCCATCACTGCTCTAGGGACAGACGGGCTGCCAGCTGTGGCCTCACAGCTGAGTCAAGGCCCTCTCTCAGGGCTCAGGCTCCTGATGTGGCCTCAGCAACCAGCCCAGACGCTGTTCTTCATTCATCATCTGATTGGACTGCCTGCTGTCCCAGGCCCTCCTAGCAGATGAGCCCAGTCCCTGCCCTCCTGGACCCCGTAGGCCTGGGGGGAAGTGGAAAGATGTGAACAGAGAATATAGGCCAAGTGCAAGGCACTGAGTGGATTGTCTGGGCTCACAGAAGGGAGCAGCAAACCAGCTGAGGATGGGGTGAGGAAGGGAGACTACTGAGCAGCAGACACTTAAGCTGGGCCTCAGAACCACCGGGACTCACAGTAGCGGAATTCCCAGCCCCCATGTCAGTGCCCAGGCCAGGCAAGGAGGGTCAGGTTGGAGAATGGAGAGAGTCCAGATGGGGCTGCCCATTGTAGGTCCAGCTGTGAGGGCCCCCCAGAGCCCCGAGTCACTCAGGCCAGGAGAACGGCAGGGCTTAGAGGAGCTGATTCCTGGGTCTTTCATGGGCAGCCCCTTTCCACCCCCTGCCACAGACAGTCTCCTCCACTCGGGGGACCTCCGAGAAGAGGGGAGCACGTCTCAGACACCTACTAGCCCATCTCAGAGAAGCTGCTTCCTGGTCTCGCCCTGTCAGCCCTTCATGCTCCCAGCCTTTGGAACACAGTGGAGGTGGCTGGAGAAGGGGGTGGACTAGAAGCTGGAGGGGGCTAGTCCCGGGGAAGCGGCACTGGGCAGAGGTGCTGAGAGGGGCCTGGGCCCCGGCAGCTCCAACCCCAGCAACGGTTTCCAGGGGAGCCGAGGGCTGGCCCAGCTTGCAGGAGGCGGTGGAGCTGTCTCCTGGCTGCAGCTGGCGGGCAGGGTGGGGGGAGGATGCCTCCTTCCCAGCCCCCGCAGACACAACTCACTAACTGTCCAACCAAATGGGAAATGATTTACTCTGATGGCTGGGAGCTCCATGAAATCTGTGGATTTGTTGAAGGAAATGGGGGGTAGAATGTGTTCAGGATTGTGGGGAGACCTGGCTTTCCCACTGTGTGTGGGTGTGGCCGGGATGGGGGGGGTAGGGAGGAGTCTGCAGCCCCCTGTTAAAGCTCCCCTAAGCCCCAGCCCACCCTTCTGACACCCACTGCCATGATCATGGTCACCAACAGTGGAGCCAGCACAGCCACCCGGCCCACACCCCAATGGCTCTACTCAATCCCACGGCCCCACTGAGGGGCCCCTTCCAAATGCATAAGGCACACGGGGACCTTCAAGACTTCCGGACACACTTTTGATCACATATTCACACCCACGGTGACCACAGCCACCAGGGTCATAGACAGCCCGGCCATCACACCAGTTGCTCATTCACTCACTCATTCACTCATTCATTCATTCATTCATTCAGCCGGTGGGTCAGTCTGGCCACAATCTTTGTTCGGCAGGATGCCCCCCTCAGGGAGCCTGCGGCCCAGCGTGAAAACAAGGCCCCAACCATGGCATTGGGGGCGCACACTAACCATGGCATTGGGGGCGCACAGTGGGAGACAAGCCAGGGGCGCGAGGAGCATCCAGGGCGCGCAAAGGAGGCCCGAGCACAGTGAGGAGCCCCCGCCCCAGGAGAGGGAGCTGCCAGAGGACTGTGGGCAGCGGCCAGCATATTCCATGCGCTCGCGGACACACACAGCCTGCTGCCCACAGGACTGTCTCGGGATCACAGGCTGAGGGTCCGGGGAACGAGGCGCAGGGCTGCGGGGCACCCTGACCGACGA